GAAATACTGAGGTATTTGTCTTCAATCTCACTAATTCTGTCTTCCATTGATTCAATCATCCTCCTATGCCCATTCAATGTGTTATCTATTTGTGAAAATCCAATATTAATCTTCTAGATTTGTCTGTAGATTTTGTATCATTTCTAATTTTTCATTTATTTTGTCATTTTGTTCTTGTATTGTCTTTTGAACTTTTTCTAGGGTCTTCTCTGTGTTTTCCTCATTTTTGTCAGTGTTTTCTTTGATCTGTCTCTCAATTCATTGAAGGCACCTAAATATAATTCTTTTGAATTCCTTATCAGAGAGTTCCAATGCTGCATATTCCTCAGGGATGTGTTTTGGGTCTGTACCCTGGTCCATTGTTTCTCCTTCTTTATCTTGTTTCTTTGTGTGGACTGTGAGGCTCTGTCGTCTCTGAGGCATTGTGACATTTTTGTGTTGGTATTTAATTGGTGATTGTATATTGGAGTGACTTGCCTGTGATTTTTGTTTTGTTTTGTTAACAAATGTTATCTATGTTAGCAGGGTACTGTGTTGTGCTCCTCTATTCATTAGTTGGCAGCACTTATACACTCATCACCTGTCTCCTCTCCTGTTACCAGCCTTCTGTATGTCCCTGCCATCCTTAGCAAATGGGGCCTAGTCTTAGGTCCCTGGAATCTAAATGAGAATGCTGTCACTTTAAAATCCAAAATGGCCACCGCTTGTAAACATTTAAAGTGGCTGCATCCTCGGTCACTTTAAATATCCAAAATGGCCACAGCTTATCAACTCAAAATAGCTGTACCCTCCAGACCATCAAAAGTCCACAGCTCCTTCCTATTTCCCTTCCTGGTCATCGGCCAACAGCACAGTTGTCCCTGAAGCCCTTGGTGACCATGGCTGATCATTAGGTCAATTCTCAAGTCCCAACACTACTTGGAAATCTTCAGGCTGTTGGTCCCATCAGAGTAGCTGATAGTCTGCAGCTGTGAACATCTCCGTACTCACTGTTTTCATTCAGGTTTTTCCACTAGTTGGTGCCTAATTCACTTCTGTACACTTTCCTGCAAAGCTCAGGGCTCCAGGATTATCTTCTGTATCTCTGTCATTTGGTTTATCTTTTCTTTGTTGAAGAGGGTCTGGGTAGCTTGTCTGTCTATTCCTCCATCTTACCAGAAATCCTATAGCTGCCATTTTTGTTGTTATAAAAAGGTATTTGCAATGAATAAATCATTGGTCTTACAAAATTCTATCATGTGATCTCTGGCATCATATCTATAACAAAGGCCATATTTTCCAGCTACCAATGATTCTTGTTTCCAACTTTCACTAAAACTGTGAAAAATTTCATAGATCGCTCATAAAATCACTGTCCCCTAGAGTTCCTTCCAATCACCAGTAAGGATCAATACCTCTTGATTGCATGTGTAGTCAACTTCAGATTGCAGAAGTTGGTAGAAATCTTCAATTTCCTCATCTTTGGCTTTGGTGGTTGGTGTGTAAATTTCAGTAATAGTAGTATTAACTTGTCTTCCCTGTAACTGTATGGATATTATCCTATAACTGAAAGCAATGTACTTCAGGACAGATCTTGAAACATTCTTTGTGACAATGAATGTGTCACCATTCCTCTTCAATCTATCATTCCTGGCACAGTAAACCATATAATTGTCTGATTCAAAATGCCCAATACCAGTCCATTTCAGTTCACTAATGCCTAGGAGACTAATCTTCATTCATTCCATTTCATATTTGACTACTTATAATTTTCCTAAATTAATACTTTGTACATTTCATGTTCCAATTATTAATGGACATTTGCAGGTGTTTCTTTCCATTTAGAGTCATTCCCCATCAGCAAATGAAGGTCCCAAAAGCTTTACTACATCCGTGTCATTAAGGTCAGCTCTCTCCTTTGAGGAGACAGCTCTTCCTTCCCCAGTTGTATTTTTGAATGCCTTCTACCCTGAGATGCTCATCTTCCAGCACTGTATCAGGAAATGTTTCATGGCGATTCACAGAGCTTTCCAGGAATACATTACACAGTGTTTTCCTTCTATATATAAGGTTTTCACTGGCCAATTATTTCAGAAATGGATGGGCCTGTCCTTCCTTCCCAGTCTGTCTTAGTCTGGAAGCTTTGTTGAAATCTGTCCACTACAGGTAATCCTACTGGTATTTGAAATACCAGTGGCATAGCCTCTAGCCTCACAGCAACACGCAAGCCACCAAAGTATGACAAACTGATAGATAAGTAGTGGTTGTTTCATATACAGACTGAATAAATATGGTGAAATCATACAACCCTCACACACACCCTTTCTGATTTTAAACCATGCAGTATCCCCTTGTTTTGTGCAAATAACAGCCTCTTGATATATGTACAGATTCCTTGTGAACATAACTAAAAGTTCAAGAATTTCTATTCTTCACAACGTTAGCCATAAAATGTTAAGATATACACAACTGAATGCCCTTGTACAGTCCATAAAACACAAACATCTTTCTGGTATTCTTTGCTTTCAGCCAAGAGCTACCTGACATCAGCATTGATAACCCCCATTCCATGTCCTCTTCTGAATGCAGATTAAGTTTCTGGAAGTTCCCTGTCAATACACAGCTGCAACTGTTTTTGAATTATCTTAGGAGCTCTGGTAGCATAGTGGCTAAAGCACTTGACTGCTAACCAGAAGGCTGGCGGTTCAAACCCACCAGCCACTCCTCGGAAGGAAGGTTGGGCAATCTACTTCCGTAGTGATACTGCCTCGGAAACCCAAGGAGGGGTCGCTATGAGTCGGGGCCGACTCGACGGCACATAACAACAACAACAACAAATTTTCCTTGCATGGGATATTAATGATATTGTTCAATAATTTCTACATTCTGTTGGATCACCATTCTTTGGAATGGGTATAAATAAGGATCTCTTCCAGTCAGTTGGCCAGGTAGCTGGCTTCCAAATCTCTTGGAACAAACAAGTAAGCATCTCCAGCACTGAAACATTTGTTCAAACATCTCAATGGGTATTCCATCAATTCCTGAAATCCTGTTTTTCACCAATTTCTTCAGTGCAGCTTGGACATCTTCCTTTAAAACGGATGAACTCTATAGTATGTGACTTTTATTTCAATTAAGCAGTTACCAAAAAAAGCTTCTTCATTAACAAAAACTAAAATATAGCAATTTAAATGGATGCCTTTATCTCTGCTTCCTTTGATAACCCACTAAATGGAAATAAAGGACATTTTTTTATAATTTTATTTTTTGTTGTTGAGAATACACACAGCAGAACATATACCAATTCAACCATTTCAACCTGTACAATTCACTGACATTTATTTACATTCCAAATTGTGCAACTATTCTCACCCCATTTTCAAAAATTTCCTCTATAAACATAAAATCACTGTCCCCTAAGGTTCCTAGGTAATCTTTTATCTGCTGTTATCCATTTGATCCCATATAGATAGCTCTTTAGGAGCTCTGGTAGCACACTGCCTAAGGCACTTGACTGCTAACCAGAAGGCTGGCGGTTCAAACCCACCAGCCACTCCTCAGAAGGAAGGTTGGGCAATCTACTTCCATAGTGACACCGCTGCGGAAACCCAAGGAGGGGTCGCTATGAGTCAAAGCCGACTCTACAGCACATAACAACAACAACAGATAGCTCTTTAAGGAGCACAATGGGTAAGGCTGACATTCTTTACTAGTTAAGCTGAACTACTGTCTGGTTTTAAGAAGACTTCAGGGGATATTTTTGGTTTAAAGATAATCTCACGGCAACAGTTTCAGGGATTCATCTACCCTCCAGGGTTCCAGAAAATCTATATTACATCAGGATTTGAAATTCTGTTCTTTATTTCTATTCTTTTGATCATGACTCCTCTATAGAATCTTTGACCAAAATGTTCAGTAATAGCAGCCAGGCACCATCCAGTTCTCCTATTCTCATGGCAAAGGAAGCAGTTACCAAACCAAACTCAATGCCACGGAGTCAGATCTGACTCATACCAACCCCTCCTTGGGGTTCCATGGCAGTATCACTATGGAAGTAGATTGCCCAGACCTTCCTTCCGAGAAGTGGCTGGTAGGTTTGAACTGCCAGCCTTCTGGTTAGCAGTCAAATGCCTTAGGCACTATGCCACCAGAGCTCCTATGGAGGCAGTTAGTATTTCCTCCTCCTGTTTCTGACTATCCCTTTTCTCTTTTACTCCAGGAGAAAGGAGACCAATTGGTGTGCCTTAGATGGCTGCTTGAAAGCTTTTAAGGCCCCCGGCACTATACAATGAACTATGAGGTACAAAAGAAGCACTAAACACGTAATTAGGCCAGTTAACTGGGATGTCCCATGAAACCATGACACCCTAAACTTCCAAACCAAAACTAAATCCTACAAGTTATTTTCTGGTTGTACATAAGCAGACTCAGCAGCTTTTTTTTTTTTCTTTTGTCACTGCTACAATAAAGGAAATTTTTTAAAGGATCATATCCAAAATGAGTATGTAAAGAGTCTACTGAAACATAATTTTGGAAGCTGAGAGAACAGATGGATGAGTGGCCATTTGAATTAGTTTTCCACTTCCTCACTATGCTAAAGCCAACAGCAGGGAAAGCACGCAAGCAAGATAATTTCCATTATTTAAAAACAAAAAAATCAACGCCACTGAGTCAATTTTGACTCATAGTGACCTCCATAGGGTTTCCAAGGCTGTAAATCTTTATAGAAGCAGACTTTCTGATCTTCTTCCATGGAATGGCTAGTGGGTTCAAATCCCCAACCTTCTGATTAGCAGCCAAATGCCAAATGCACCACCAGAACTCCTTTATAGGACCCAGAAAGACTTTCAGAAACTCAGCTCTTCATAAATAAAATGGGCATGGTTTCTATACTGCTCAAAGGGTTGATATGAGGATCAAAAGAGTAATTGTACATGAACATGCTTTTCAAATACTAAAGTGCTTTAAGAATATATTGTAGAGAAGCCTTAGCATTACCTTCCCAAGTCATGACTCCAAGGAATCTATCAGCCACTTCCTGGGGGAAACTCCAATGCTCTGGAAGGCACAGTGTTCCATCAGGTCTTTTACAACACACTTTCTCCAGGTTAGCGACTAGGATGTTCAAGCAGATATTGACCAAAGAGTACGGAGATGCCTCCTCCTATCAGACAAACCCCAAACAAATTCTGTTAAAATAAATCTGCATAAAATTTGACATAAGCTTGATTATGTCACACATAAAACTATTTGACAAGGATACCTGAAGATGTAATATTTCTACTCTAGTAATGATTTATGTGCCAGCCACTGAAGATACAGGAAGCAGTAATACATAATTCTAGTCCTTTAAAATAAGCTAATAGTCTAGTGGGAAAAAAAAAAAACAAGAAATCTCATGGTTTTGGGGGAAAAAAAAAGGGTGGGGGGAGACCAGGTTTGCTGGTCCAATAGAGCCTGGTGGAACCACTGAGACTCTGGCCCCTAGCTACCCTTTAGGTCTGGAATTGAACCCACACCTGTGGTTTCCAGCCAAACAAAAGACAGGCATATGAGTTGAACATTTCCCTGAGGTAGATGTACTCCTTGGAGAGAACAATCATAGGCGAAAGAAGGGCTGTTTATGCACAGGGAGACAGCTCAGGGGGCAGGAGTGCATGGAGGGATGGACACAGTGAAGAGGTAACTGTTGGGAGGAAGTAGGAGGGGAGTTGTTGCATTGTGGTAAACTTCAGTCAATGTCATGAGATAAAGTGTATGTGAACTACTATATGGAAAGTGAATTTGCTCTGTAAATTTTTACCCAAATCACAATTAAAAAAAAGAAAAAGAAAAAAGAAATCTCATGGTTTCAATACAGGATGTGGAATTTTTTCAAGCAGAGATCACATGATGATTCAATCAACACAGATTTATTCAGCAATTAGTACATGCCAGAGGATTAGAAGGCTTATTCCTACCCACAAAAGTCATGACCTAACGAGGTGATACAGCCAGCATGCTATAAAAGAGTGAGCCCAGATATCATCAACATTCTTGAAGGATATGGAAAAACTAATCACTAACTTTATACAGAATGGAAAGGAACCTCAGATAAGAAAAGCACTATTGAATAAGAAGAACAAAGCAGGAGGTCTCACACTCCTGGATCTTAAAACCTACTATATAGCCAAAGTAGTCAAAACTGCCTGATATTGGTACAAATACAGACACATAGACTGATGGGATAGAATTGAGAACCCAGAAATCGATCCATCCAACTATGGTGAGCTGATCTTTGACAAAGGGCCAAAATCCATTAAATGGGGAAGAAATTGTCTATTTAACAAATGGTAATCACAAAACTGGGTATCTATTTACGAAAAATGAAACAAGATCTGTACCTCACACCATACACCAAAACTAACTCCAGATGGACCAAAGACTTAAATGTGAAATCTAAAACTATAAAGTTCCTCAAGGAAAAAACAGGCACAAATTTAGGGGCCCTAATATATGGCATAGGAGCCCTGGTAGGATAGTGCCTAGGGCACCTGACTGCTAACCAGAAGGTTGGCAGTTCAAACCCACCAGCCACTCCTCGGAAGGAAGGTTGGGCAATCAACTTCTGTAGTGTTACCACCTCAGAAATCCAAGGAGGGGTCACTATGAGTTGGGTCCAACTCGATGGCACGTAACAACAACAACATAGCAAAGAAGAAACTGAGCAGGTCATAAAAAAAACTTCCCACAAAGAAAAGTCCTGGCCCTGATGACTTCACTGGAGAATTTTACCAAATATTCAGAGAAGAGTTGACACCTATGCTACTCAAGCTATTCCAGAACACAGAAAAAGATGGAATATTCCCAACCTCATTTAATGAAGCCAGCATAAAACTAATACCAAAATCAGGGAAAGACACCACTAGAAAGGAAAACTACAGAACAATATCCCTCATGAACACAGATGCAAAAATCTTCAACAAAATCCTAGCCAAAAGAATCCAACAACATATCAAAAAAATAATACATCCTCACCAAGTGGGATTCGTACCAGGTTTGCAAGGATGGTTCAACATCAGAAAAACAATCAATGTCCACCACATAAACAAAACAAAACAAAAGAACCGTATGATTATATCAATCGATGCAGAAAAGGCATTTAATTAAATCCAACACCTGTTCCTGTTCAGAACTCTCAGCAAAATAGGGATAGAAGGGAAATTCCTCAATACAATAAAAGGCATATATGCAAACCCAACAGCCAACATCATTATTAATGGAGAAAGACTCAAAGCATTCCCCTTACGAATGGGAACCAGACAGGGATGCTCTCTACCACAACTTCTATTTAACATTGTATTGGAAGTCCTGGCCAGGGCAATAGGGCAAGAAAGAAAAATAAAAGGCATACAAATTGGCAAAGAGGAACTAAAACTATCTCTATTTGCAAACAATATGATCCTGTACATAGAAAACCCATGGGATGAAATAAGAAAAATTACTGGAACTAATAGAGAGGTTCAGAAAGTGGCTGGATACAAGGTCAACACACAAAAATCAGTTGGATTCCTCTACAAAAACAAAGAGTCCTCTGATAAAGAAATAAGGGAAATGATACCATTTACAATAGCTACTAAAAAGATAAAATATCTAGGAATAAACCTTACCAGAGACACAAAAGACCTATACAAAGAAAACTATAAAACACTACTACAAGAGACAAAAAGGGCACTACATAAATGGAAGAACCTATCTTGTTCATGGATAGGTAGACGGAATATTGTGAAAATGTCAATACTACCTAAAGCAAGCTACACATTCAATGAAATCTCAATCCAGATACCAACAAAATTTTTAAAAAACATGGAAAAAACAATTACTAACTTCAAATGGAAAGGAAAGAAACCTCGGATAAGCAGAGCACTTCTGAAGAACAACAACAAAGTGGGAGTTCTCACACTCCCAGATCTTAAGAACTACTATACAGACACAGTAGTCAAAACAGCATGGTATTGGTTTAATGATAGACAGAGAGACCAATGGAACAGAATCAAAAGTCGAGATATAGACCCATCCATCTATGGACAGCTGATCTTTGACAAAGGTCCAAAACCCATTAAATGGGGAAGACAGTCTCTTCAACAAATGGTGCTGAAGGTAGGGGGAGGGATATATGGCAAGAATCTGTGACCACTATGATAACATTAGGAAATGGGAGAACACCGAATTGTGCACATAAGAGATAGACAACAGATGCTAATACCAACTAATATGTCCACAATACTGCATTGCCATGAACACCAAACACCAGGCTACAGATAAACACATAAACACCTGAGACAATCAGATGGGGGTCAGTGAACAGAAGTATACTCTAGACCAAGGATAGATTCAGCACAGGCTAATTTTGCACAGATACCAGTGATAGGAAATACTGCAATCCTTAGAGAAACAACAGAAGACAGACACAAAGCAATCCCTCACAGACAACCAGACACTACAGGAGAGAGATCCAATAGATCTATTGCCTCAGGACCATAGTACTGGGGAGCACCAGACTAATTGACACAACAAAATACATAAAAGCCTTGTTCTGCATCCTACATTGGTGAGTACGACTGGGGTCTTAAAAGCTTTCAAGCAGTCATCTAAGATGCAGCTAACAGTCTCCTAGCATCAGAAGTGAAGAAGAGTACAAAAAAAAGAAGGGCATTTGGAAGCAATCAGCCCTAGGACACAATGGCCCTTAAGAACAGAAGAACTAGATGGTGCCCAGCTACCAATGCCAACCACTCAGGAAAAGATCAAATCTGGAGATCCTGGATAGAGTGGAGGAAAAAATGTGGAATAAAACCCAAAAACTCAATAATGACCAGAACTACTGGTCAGATGAAATCTGATGAGACCCCTAATAATATGGCCCTGGAATACATTCTACACCTGGAATAAAATGCTGCCCCAGGGAGCCCAACAGTTAACAAGATGTACATGCAGACCACTCAACCCAAGATGACGCACCCCCATACTCTATGGTAATATATCCCTTAGAGCAACAGACCACAGGGCACCAGAGCACCAACATTCAAATTGAGGAAATGCAGGACAAACAAGAGTGCACAAATATGAGGGGCAGAGGGAGTGGGTTACAGGTAGGGAGGTGAGGAGACTGGGTTAGGGTTGAACATGGTAAATGGGGAGTGAAACTAAATGTACACATAACACTGAATGTAAAACAAGCTTTTAAAAATAAAAATAAATAAATAAAACAAAAGCAAAAAATAAATTGTGCTGTCAAAATTGGATATCCACTTGCAGAAAAATGAAACAAGACCCATACCTCACCCCATACACAAAAACAAATTCAAGCTGGATCAAAAACTTATATGTAAAACCCAAAACTATGAAATTCATCAAAGATAAAACAGGGGCAAATCTGGGGGCCCTAATTTATGGCATAAATAGAATATCAACCATACCCAGAATGCACAGGAGGTAGAAGAGAAGCTAGATGACTGGGACCTTTTAAAAATTAAATTATTATGTGCATTGAAAGACTTCATCAACTGGGTAAAAAGAGAACCTACAAACTGGGAGAAAATATTTGCCTATGACATATCTGATAAAGGACTTATCTCTAAAATCTACAGAAAACTTCAACACCTCAACACCAAAAAGACAAATAATCCAACTCACAAATGGGCAAAAGACTTGAACAGACACTTCACCAATGATGATATATATTGGTAGCCAAAAAACACATGAGAAATTGCACATGATCTTTAGTCATTAAGAGAGATGCAAATCGAAACAACGATGAGACATCATCTTACCCAAGCCATAATAGCAAAGTTCAACAGGTCAGAAAATAACAAATGCTGGCAAGGTTGCAGAGAGATTGGAAGTCTTGTGCACTGTTGGTGGGTTGTAAAATGGTACAACCACTGTGGCATATGGTATGGTGTTTCCCTAAAAAACTCAAAATAGAAATACCATTTGACCCAGCAATTCCATTACTAGGAATATCTCCTAAAGAGGTGAGAGACAACACATGAACAGACATATGCACACCTATGTTCATCTCAGCAAAATTCACTATGGCAAAAAGATGGAAACAACCTAAATGCCCATCAACGGATGAGTGGATAACCAAATTATGTTACATGCACACAGTGGCATACTACG